GTTATGTCTCATGGTTGGATTCTAAAGCCATCAAAAGAATCAACTTTGTGATTTACTGCTACAATTAATAATTGTCTCAGTAAATGCCCAAACCCTATAGAACTGGTGCCTTTAGAGAACCACTGTGATTACATATTTGGCGTCCCTGAGCCAGTTTTTCCTACAAATGCATACTTTTAGAATTTGATTAACAGGGAATATAATATGGAATTGTGTATTTAAACAAATTAATAACGATATAATTATATTCATGTACTGTCTGGCGGAATAAACTGAAGAGGTTAGTTAATGCGACACGGAATTATTAAGAATTATCACCTCTTTTTACACTTGAGAACAAATGAGAACATTCCACTCAGTGGGCAGTGCATTGTTATCTCAATCAGCTGCTAATTCCTTTTATACCACTGGACGACAGGAGAATGTGACTGTACTGTATCTGTACAGAATGTGTGTTTCAATCAACACAGTAATTGATTAAAATCGCAATCGCGTGTTTAATTAAATGCCTTTTTTGATTCACAATCTGAAAATGAAAACCGCGGTAAAGTCACCTTGAACTGAAAAAAAAAAAACGATTTTGGCACGCCTATAGCATTTTCACGAAACCTCATAGAGTTGTGAGAACACTTGCTTTGTGTATAAAGTACATTGTGAATGTTTTCACAGCCTTCACTTTGTCGTTTTTATGCAATTTTTTTCCACGCACGAATATTCCTTTGTCCGTATCTTCGCAAGGGAATCAGTGCGAATTTTAATACTAATTAAATGACTGCGGACACTTTCCACCCCCTCTACATTCTCAGGGTAGAACAGACTAACCTTCTAATGAAAGACGGTCCACCTCCTCCCCCCCCGCCATGGACAGGAAAATTGCCCACAGGCACTTAAACTTAATATGGTCAGTAACAGTAAACAGTAACATGGTCAGAAGGAGCACATACTAATGTTCCTGAAATAACCACATGTAAGACTCTGATGCTTGAAATGTATAGGGAGAAAGTGGAATACTGGTGTGTATTTTTTCTTTGAACTACCAATACCAGCCATATACAGTCTGTAACGTAGGGATTTCTATATGTCTTTATTTAGTGGTTACATTAGTGACACAGGCTAAACTTTTAGCTTCAGTAACGCGTACGCCGTATGGCATACATGTTTGTTTTGGGTTTTGCTTGTTCACATATCTCTCCTTTTTATAAAACGACATGGTTAAAAACTGTTCCAGAGCCACCGGTGTTTCATCAGTGAAAAGTACATCATGAAATGCCTCTCCCTGTTCAATCCACTGGAAAAAAGAAAAGGAGCATAAAGCGTCTGATGGTCATAAACAATATTCATTTAGGAACAGCATCAGAGATATGTTTTTAACTGCACTGCATCGGAGAGAATACCATAGTGTGTTTTTTTTTTTACTCCCTGGCGGAAACTGGCTTCCATAAGAATCAGTATGGCTCAGAGATTAAATAAAACTTCACTCGCACCAAACAAATGTATATTTCTAAATATCACAACATTATCGAATTTATGTCATTTTAATAACAATGAATAGTCACCTAGGCGTTACAATATAAACATTTATATTGATTTAAATTGCCTTTAAAACCCATAAATAAAGCTGATACTGTTAGACTTTTAATTATTTAAAACTGTATTACAGCAGCACAATGCAAAATGTAACGTAAATCGCTATCTTTGTCTTCTGTGTAATAAAGTTCACCTCTCTGTCCAGCAAATTAACAATAGTAATAATAATGAACTTTATTGTATATGGCGCCTTTAAAGGTGGCTCCTCAAAGCGCTTTAGAGGTTAAAAACAATAACAACAATACTGTTAGGCTGGGCAAACGATTTTTTTTTTAAAGAAATACAAAATGAGATATAATGATGTGTTCCGGCTTAGACATTAACGAAGAGCATAACACGTGGCGGCGTAGCGGTCGGCTCTGGCTTTCCCATCTACTGTATTACCGATGCACTGCAAATACAACCCCCCTCTCTTCAGGAGTGCTGGCTGTGATGAATTAAACCAGTTTCAAAGTAGAAGGGTGCGAGATTTCCAGCGAAAGACACCCCCCCCCCCTTCAAAAACCCAGTAAGTACAGTACTTACTAGTTAAGAAAGCTAGTTAAGAAACAGTCCGGGCGTGGCAAGCTTCTAATGTCAACTCGGCTACGGCGAAAGGAACCCTTCTTTCATCAGAAGACAATTAACATATTCTAGCCCTAAATGAATTAATAGTAAACATGGTTTACATAAAATACATTTTTCCAAGAAAGTTTAGCCTTTGTCACTAATGAAACCACTAAATAAAGACATAAATATAGAAATCTTAAGATTTTTAAAATACATGACTTTGCTAAAATTTATTTAAAAATAAAAACGATTACAAACGCCAGTGGAGAGAGAGAACAGGGGAGGGGTGTTGGTTTTGCATAAGGGGCGGGGCTACGGAAATGAGGTCTATTTGGAAATGTGGAGTTACATGTTCTGGCTGTTTGTGAATTATCGTTGTTGAGTATGGAGTGTTGAGGTATTGATTTTGTGTAATGCTTTATGTTGAAAATTGAGGTAGATTTTGTTTATAATAAAGAGGATAAACTGGGATGGGAGGAGGGTTTGGTTTTGCACAAGGGGCGGGATTATGATAATTGGAGGAATTTGAGAGAGTTTAATGGTTTGATATATTTGATTTTGTATTGTGGTTGTTATCTATGTTTTTGAATGGTATTATGTTTATATGGTTGTTTTTGCTGGTTTTTCGTTATTATGGTTATTAATAATATGATCTATAGT